GAGGAATCCTCTCAGGTCACGGGTATTGACATCGCGGATATTCTGGCCATCGAAAGTAATCTCACCTTCGGTGGCATCATACAAGCGGATAACCAAACCTGCGATAGTGGACTTTCCACTTCCAGAAAGGCCAACAATGGCTGTGTGCTTCTTGGGGGCAATAGAGAGATTGATCTTGTTAAGAACGGTGATCTCGGGCCTGGAGGGGTAAATGAAAGAGACGTCCTTGAACTCAAATCCACCCTCCGCCTGGGTAAGGCGGATGCCCTCATCAGAATATCCATCAATCAAGGATTGACGCCCGATATCGTCACGCAGCTTGTGGTAACAAGCAACAGCCTGCGTAAACAAGTGGATGAAAGGTGCAACTTGACTCAGAAGCAAGGTAGCTATGGTTAATGTTAGTAAAGTATTCCATAGTAGGATATTAACCAGACTGACCTTCAACCAAGACGAAGATAACAGTGAAAACAGATCCGACAGTGGCACCCGCCGACTCAGTGCGCACTGCCGCGGCGATCTGCCTACTTCCTTGCCAGAATGCAAGACCGTTCGCACCGTATGCGACGAAATACAAGACACCGGCCTGAATACCAGTGGCGTTGGCCTTTTTCAATCCTTCGGTTTCCGAGTCCTTCAGTGCTTTCGAGAACTTCTCCTCTAGACGACCGTTCGCACCAAAGGCGTGCACCACAACAATGTTGTTCAGCGCCTCGGAAGCAATCGACGCAGCGGAAGCAGCATAATCCGACATGCGTCCGGTGTATTTCTCGATATAGTAACTTCCAACAAATGACATGATGAAGTATGCAGGGATCAAAGAAAGCAGCATCGCGGCAAGAATGGAGTCTTTGATAAATGCAACAACGTATGCGGTGACGAAAAAGGAGAAACTCGAGATACAGATTCCGACCTTTTCAGCAGTACCGGAGCGAATTGTTTGGATATCGGTGTTGAGTCGAGAAGCAACTTCTCCAGCGGGCAAGTTATCAAAGAAGGAGGGTTCTTGTCGGAGCAGGTTCTGGAGATATCTTTCGCGGAGTCGCTGCGCCAGGCGCGCACCGGTCATAGTCCAGCATAGTAGATGAAGGTAGATTAAAACGAATTGAGCAATGCCCAGATACACGATCAGCAGAATTTTGCCATTAATATCGGCCTGATCGCTAGAATCCCCTGTCGAGGAACCAGCAGTTTCCTCGCATGTCACTGAGTTGAAATCATCGATCAGTTGGCCGAATATGATACCGATGATGGGAAAGGGGACACCCGATCCAATTGCAGACGCCAGGCCAACAAAGAGGGTTCCCAATTCGAGTCGCGAGGGATTGGCAGCCACAAGCAGCCTTGGGTAGTCTGCAAGGTTGCCGAAACCCATAGTGGCTCGAAAATGGCGTTCAACACTGGGATTGACGTTTGAGTGTTGAAGAAGCTAAGTTCTCACAAGCGATCAATTTATCGCCTTTGCTAGTTTGAAAGTGGCGTCACCATGAAAATTGCACCCACTCCTTAGCGTGAATCCATTCGGTGAAGCGACTTTAGCTGGGTTGCGACTTGGGACCCAAATAAAGATGTGTGCCAAGTGTGAAGATGGAAATTTCCAGGGGATTTCCGGATGTTTAACATGCCGATCTGATTTTTCAATCAGCCGACATCGGTTTTGCGAGTTGATCCTAAGATGCAACCCACAATGGGGGGGCAGCTTGAAGAATTTCAATTATACGGACGGGGGTTATCAGATCAAAATGGAGACTGTACCATGGTTCCCCACTACCGTCCATACGTGTATGTTCGTGTATGTTCGGGTAGATACAGTTGAATTACAGATGTTATTTCCATTGGACTGTATTTTACATACACAGAAGATACGCTGTGTATTTCATTTTGTTAAAAAAAAGAAAAATGCGGAAATCTTTTGCTCTTTGCTTTTGCTGGCTGTGGTGGATAGATGGGAAATTACGAAAAACTCAATGAATTATCCCCAAACTCTTTCTCAGCGCTAGCAATATTGAACTATGTCCTATTGTTTAATATTCGGTTTAGGTGTTACTGTTGTGCTTATTGGTTGATAACTTGCATATCCAATGTGCGAAAATAATATTCTACAAGAACACATGCACTCCAAGGTTATTTATTACATACAACACACTAAGCCAAGTGGGTCTCGTCATAACGTGCAATTTAAAAAAAAAAAACAAACAAAACTTCCGAAAGATTATCTGATTGATTGGGGCAAAGCGGAGTAGACAACGCGTTGCCGGGAGGAACTGACCCAACAAGGAAGCTCGATTATGGAGCGACATGATTTAACCCCACTTGTCTCGGGATGACGGCAAAAAAAAAAAAGAAAAAATAATGTCATGAAATTTTGTACATTGAATATTGTAAGCTTTGCCGATCAGTGTCAAGAAATAGTCAAGAAAGCTAAAGCAAATTTACAGTTTGGCATTCCATGCGGCGCGATCAGCAGATTCCAAAGGTCGCTCGCGACCATCCCAGAATAAAGGACACAACTGGAACCACTTTTCACGACTGCAAATCGAGTGCACGGATCGCTTATGTCCGAGATCGACGTACTTGCCAATTGTGAGTCCCTGCGCGTTCTCGTAGGACAAGATGGTCGCGCCGGTGGCCTTGGGCTCGCCGACAGCATTGGCAGTCCGCGGATCATCCAAGAAGACATAGTGGATGCAGCTCGAGTACCATGCATTCACGCGGTGTGCACCTCGGAAGCTGGCATCGCCGACAAGAGAGTGACGGCCGCGATCATAGTCTCCAGCATCGTAGTGAGCGCCGTAATGATCCTCCTGTAGACAAAGTGTAAGTATAAATGTCAGGCTAAAGCGCGACCGATTGAAGGGATTTTACCTTTGACCAGTACAACTCATAGTACGAGAAGCGGGTATCATCGAAGCGTCCGAACAAGCACAGGACATGGGGATCGAAGTGCAGCTTGCGCAGATACTCGGTATGCTGTTCAATAGTTCCAGTCTCATTCCAGCCTGCAGCAACACGGGGGTCATTTTGCCACTTGTTAAACAGTTGGACGTGCTCCGCACTTTCCCAGTCAACGACTTCGAGTGAGAAGTGCTCGTTGATCTCTGGGATATAGCGACTGTAGGCAATGGATCCAGGGTGCGGCTTGGGGCGGCGAGTTGGGTGGCGGGTATATACAGGCTCCTCGGGGAACTTGTTGGTCATTTGGTAGTTCTCCGGCATGATAGGATACTGAGACAATGGCTCCCGGATGGGGCCGTCTGTACCATCTCCGACCACCCAGATTGGACGAGGGCCTAATGGAGAAGCAGCACCTTGCCAGAAGGCGCTTCGGAGGATCAGCAAATCATCGAATTGCAAAGCCTTGTTATCTCTGTCCCGCAGGTTTCTTGGGTGCTTGATTGCCAATCCGGTGGTAAGAAGTTCATTGTAGATGACTTCCTGTCCTGTGCCGGACAGAGTCAGTCTGAAATACTCGATTGTTTGGTGGCCGAGGTAAATGGCGTGGATCACATTCCAAATTTGGCCCAAAGAAGGGGCGCTGTTCCCTAACCACTGGAAGACAGTCTGGGGACTGCGACGCGCGCGACCCCAGGGAGTGTTATCTGAGATTGGTGGCTGCTCGGTCTTGGGAATGAATGTCAAGTCAAGCCATGAAAGAGAGTCTGAGTGTAGTTGTTCAGGCAAAGACCGGCCCTTTGCGGGCTGTTCATCAAGTGTCAAGTTGTGCTTAGCTGGTGTCGATCCAGCGACGGTGTTCACACGATATGCGGTCAGATAAGGGTGTGGTAGCTTGACCAAAGGATACTGGTGTGATTTTGAGGCCATTGTCGTAGATTTCTCGATCATCATGGTAGGATCAAGAATTGCGAAGGAATTGGAGTTTCGGAGTAAGAAAAAAAAAAGAGAGAGTTCCCCGCCTTGTGCAATCAGATTATATGTAGGTGAGACCCTAAAAGGGTTAAGGATGATCAAGCAAGGACATACCTTAGTAACCGAGGTCGAATCCTTCCTCGTATGTCGTATGTACGTGTATGTATCGGATTTTAGGCCACGGTCACGAATTTCCCGATCGGGGGGGAACGCCGCTTTATGAGGGCACTCGGGCTCCTGCTGAGTATTTCACAGCACAGGTGATCACTGTAAGCACTTATATACAACATAGTGATTTAGTAGGCTTTAAACCCTAGTTTATCGCGCTATTTAAACGGGCTCGGGGGGCTCCTCAATCTCGTACGAAGCAATGCTTTAATTGACAAAGCTTGCTTTTGTAGCTACCTAGGTAGTTCGAAGGTGTTTTTATGTTGTACTAACTAGGTCCTAATCGTACCCGGTGTGGATGCCTGAGGTATCTCGCAGTAGTTGGAGCCTTGGGGCCTGACAGTCGCTCGGCGGTCAAAGTCTACCTAGTTAACTAGGACTACCTAAGTACCTAGGTAGGTAACTAGCCGTAACTAGTTACCTACAACATACTAGGTACATTATGAACTGGCCTTCCTGCTGGGTAGAGCTAGTCCCGTCTTGGCAAGCTTTTGGACCTGAACCAAACCGGCATGGATGATGTTGACTGGTATACTGTCATGTCCCTGATTCAAAGGCCATTATATATCGGAAGACGGATTCTACATGAACACTTCCATCACATGATAACTAGCCATCATGGAATGACCGTTGGCTGACGGGATTTTTTGACAACCCCATCTTGCGGCTGAATCCCATGCAAGCCTAGGTCAGCGTTGTCACGCTGACCCGCCCACCAATTAGCCAGCTCAGCAGGTCTCCGACCAACTCAAAACTCGGCCATATCATCAGATTTGATCATTACCATGATAGATCGGGCCGTCTGGGCAAAAGGAGTGAGTTCGATCTGACCACAACCCTTTGCTACCAGAAATCATCTCGCTTGGCGATATGTCCGATCAAGGCGGGGTTTTTGGCGCCTTTGGTGCGGTGCTTGGTTATATCGGAGCAGAGGCAGCCACCGACATCTGGTTTTCGTCGTTATTATGGCCCCAGCGATCATTCTCCCACATCACACTTCGATCCATCCCAACCCTGGCTCTCCTGATGCCCATGGGGGTCCTTTGCACAAAGCCGCTCTGAGCACCTTCGATATCGCCAACGCCCGAGGTCTCTTGAAGGGCGCCCACGAAGGCCACATGCTGGGCACTTCGTTCTTTGATCAAACGGACTGGACCTACACCATTCCCGGTACTGCTAGTTCCGAGCCCCGCGCAGCCCGTAACTGCATGTGGGCGCGAGCTCTTCATTACATGCCTCTACCCGCCGAAAAATTGGCAGGACTAGCTTCGGGCGCTGCCATCGAGAAGGGGATCCTCCCGTCCGCCGACAATGGCCGCATCCCCTTACGAGCGAAAGTCGCCGTCTACCACCTCATCTTCACTCCAGCAACGGCAGAAGATAAAGCCTCGCAGATAGCGTTTGTGCGCGAGAACTGCGGCCGACCAGGCTTACACGTTTACCTCAGCATCTTCATCGCCGAGCTCTCCGGCATCATTATCTTTGTCGTGATCTACGCCATCGGACGATCACTCTGGTGTCTCATCTGGCTAGCCCCGCTGCTCCTCCGCCTCCTGGGCGCCTTCTTCGCCCTTGACCGCGAGCCCCTCGCCCCTATCTCCTCTTCCATCTCATCGCCGTCAACCACGCCGACCACCAAAGCCGAATCACCTCGTGATTTTGTCCTGCACTTCCCCCAATCTCAAGGCGGCAACCTCATGCTGTTCACAGGTCCCTCAGCCCTCGTGCAGCAGTTCTTCCGACACTACGGCCACCCAGTCCGGAACCGAACCCGGGAGATTCTCCAGCTGTGCATTATAGCGCTTTTCGCCGCTCTATTTCCGCTAGGATTGCTGGCCTCGACTCTCTGGATGCCGCCTCTGGTTCAGTACGCGTGGACCTGTTACCAGCTATACATTGTCATGACGATGCATATCGTCCGCTACACGTCGTTTGGACGGGACACGAGCACGGAATCTAGGATCGCTAATTATCTGGTGGATCGGCCGGCGATTCTTTTTGGGGAGAAGAGGAATGGGGCTGAGACGGTGAAAGTTAGTCTTATTGCGACGTATCATGCGCGGCATCAGGAGGGGATGGATTGTTTGGAGCGGTTGGTGAGACGGTAGTCGTTGGTTTGGCTGCAGTGATGTCTTCAGTGCAACTGAGGATTAGCCTTTTTTCTTTCTTATATTCGTTCCATCTGCATCAATAAATCTGAACTCGTACTAGCAGAAGCACAGCCAATAGCAGAACAGCACGCTCGCTTAGTTTTCTAATATATAACCCCGCTTCTGACCTCGTCGCTCGTCTAATAAACACGACTACCAGCGTCTTGCTATTATTTACACTAATATTAGACAGAAAAGTCAGCATAACAGCATGAGCCCTGATGACTGGGTGCCCGTACGCAGCCCCAAGAGGGACAAGGGATACCCCCTCGCCACGTTGATGCAGGTGGTCTACGGCGAGGACATGGGCATGGGAGACGGGTACAGCAGGTGTTTCTCGATTATGTATCGACTGGCTCTGGAGCAGGGCGCGGTCGACAGTGTAAAAAGCCCTGACGGGACGGTCATCACGGCGTTTAATGATGATCGTGCTGAAAGACTGCGACAACATCTTACCCCGGGGCAGGAACGATCATTTTGCATTCTCTGGAAATGGTGGGCGGCGTGTTCCCGAGTATGTATTGTGGACGAAGCAGAAGAAGAGTACGATGATAATTACGACGACCTCTTTGGCGACGACGAGTCTCACTTCTACCCACAAACCCACGGAGAGCGCGAGACGATCCACCAGGCCGGTGGGATCCTGTACAAACTCCGCTTCAACTGCGTCTACAACAAGTCCGTGGCAACGCTGTTCAACGCTGAATTCGAGAACTTCGTAATACACCGAAGCGGCGACGAGCTGGTGAACCTCCGACGGGTCTTGGCGCGGGGAGATGCTTGTCTAACCATTGCGATTGAAGCTTGCTCCCCGCGAAGCCACACCCAACAGCCAGCTCAAGTACCATACTCCCCAGATGGCGAGAGTTATCTCGCTCACCGGTCAGAGAGTTCCCCGGTCTGGCGCGCAGGGAGACGGGTCCTGGGGAGCAGCGACCTACCCGGGCTGGATCCTCGCTGCAGTGTCGGCTCCAGTATCGACTCCTGCCCCTGGCTGGGAGAGATCCGCGGGTTCCCGCTTTACTTGTGGGATGTGAAAGAGCGGAGAACCGTGGAATTCTTCTCGCTGTGCGACGAATACGAGTTCGACGTCCCGTATACAGCCATCAGTCACACCTGGGGCAGGTGGCGGCAACGCGATCAGCCTGGGGTTGATATGAAATCGCGCGTGCCGTGGCTGATCCCGCGGAACTCACTGTTCGATGTCGAGCGACTACCAGATATCCTGGCGCAGATTCCCACGGATACACCCTATATCTGGTTTGATCTGGTTTGCATTCCGCAGGAGGGCTGCGGGGAGGAGCTTGACGAGCAGCTGCGGCAGGCCATGCGGACGGAGGTTGCGAGCCAGGCATCCATCTTCAAGGGCGCTAAACACGCCATTGCTTGGTGGAATACCGACTCCGCCCCGGAGTCCTGGGACGGCATGCGCAGCGCCATCCAGTGGATGTCCTCCATATATCTGGATCTCCAGTTCTCGGATGGGGACGAGTCTTCCATACGTATCCCGCCGTGTGAAGTGCACGACCAGCTCCAGGCCACGGGGCTGTTCTCGCCGGACATGGCCACCCTGCCCTGGTTCAGCTCCCTGTGGACGCTGCAGGAAGTGTGCCTGCGCCCTGACATCTGGATCTGCAACAAGAACCTCGATCTCCTCACGGTAGGCGACAACGGGGCCCTCGTCGCCTTCAACACGCTCGTCTCCCTCGCTGAACGAGTAAAAGACACACTCAGATGGGAACTTGACGATCTAACTACCCCGCCAGACCAGCTTCTCGAGTGCTGGAAGCCCCTCGTCCACCCAGGCTTTCACGAAGTACTCGACCTCCTCCATCGCACAGGAATGGACAACCTCCACGAGCTCAAGCGAGAGCAGATCCTCTTCCTAGCGACCAGCCGATACTGCAGCCACAGCCGTGCGCAGGCGATCATGTCCGTCCTCGGCATGACAGAATGGTACAACTCCGCCACTGCCATGCCGGAGCAGCGCCAGCCCAACAAACCGGGCTTCGTCTTCGACCAGTACCCTCTTGCCTTCGTACAGGAGGTCGCGCGCAATATGGGCTCTAGCTTCTTCATCAGCTCCGTTCTGTCGGATTACCCGCCCGTCAACGATATGAATGCTGAGGACGTAGTCCGGGGCACTATGCTCCCCTTCCGGGCCCGGATATCCGAGCCGCGACGCCTGTGTGTGCCGCGCTTAGAGACAGCGGACCATCCGTCCGTATCGACGTGGGAGGTCCACGGCGACGGGGCAGTGTTCCTACCGGAGGTGGAGATCCTCTTCTCATCCAATAGCGACTATGGCGATATCAAGTATATGAAATGCTCTGTCGATTTGAGTATGCCGGTGCCTGAACATATTGTTGAACGGGAGCACTTCCAACCCCAAGGGAGCATGTACCATGGGGATCTCCGGTACTGGATTAAACAGCTCATCCCGGAGATCTACGGAGTGCGTGGGACATACTATGCTATTCATCTCCGGTACCGACCCGGACAATGGGATGGTTTGTTATTGAAGGCCGCCGGTAGTGGGGACTCTTCAAAGCCGGAGAAGATGATCAAAATCGGGAATCTCCATGTGCTGACCTCGGTGGGGGATGGGGAATATCTGCCCAGGTGTAAATCTGTGGACGTTAACTGGATTGTTTTGTAGATTCAGATCTTTGTTATTATGATGCCTTATCATATTGCATAATCTGTCTCCGTATACGCTTTAGAACAGCTACTCGGCTACAAGGTGATACGCAAACCGTCTCTGACACGGTCGAGAAAAGAGGAAGGTCACATCTGTCACGAAATATTAATACCTAGGTAAGCCCCAAATATCCAAAATACTAGTATATTAATAACCAACAGTGCCCACCTGGGCAATGTGTTAATTAAAAATTAAAATGGTAGATCTGAATAACTGCCCTCGAGATAACCCGTGGACTATTTATGTTTATGTAATGATCAGGTGATGCTCAGTGAGCGATGGGGGTTTGATGATTATGTAATACTCCGGGGCGTGCTTAGTTTTACTCAGTGAGCAAAGAGCGGCAAGGGGTGAGTCCTAAAGCGGAAATTTTATTTCGAGGATCGTCGAGTCTGTTATTTTCAACATACAATATTGTACGGAGTATGTATGATATGTATGTTTGTACGGACAACATACATACCGATATCGCCTTATTCTGGTTAGTTCCGAGGTTCCGTGGAAGCTTTTTGCGACCGAGCTTCCCCCTACAATACATAATCCACAGATTGGCCCAAGAGGAAAAAGGAAATATAAAGTCAAAGACTAAAGTTGAAGTTAGTCACAATACACTGCATATTCTGCTTCACAATTCATCATGTCTTTACGATCAGGACCCTTGAATCATGAGAATTTCTTTATCTCTTTTCCGCATGACCGGGTTGTCCAGGTCACAATCAATAGACCGGACAAGCTAAATTGCATCGACAAAACTACAAGTCGAGAGATTGCCAAGATCTGGGACCAGTTTGATGAAGATGAAAGCTTATGGGTCGCCATAATCACCGGTGCCGGTCGAGCCTTCTGTACAGGAGCTGATCTAGGAGGTGGGTTTCTTCTCTTCTGCCACTAAAAATATCAAAGTCAAAGACTGACTCTGAAGTGAACAGAATGGAACGCTATGAACAAAGCTGGTGTCGTCAATGACATGTCCGCGCCAGGCCTGGCCGGATTACCTCGCCGGACCGGTAAGAAACCGATCATTGCCGCTGTAAACGGCATTTGCATGGGTGGAGGCTTTGAGATGGTGGCAAATTGCGATCTTATCTTAGCTTCATCCTCAGCCGTTTTCTCCCTTCCGGAAGTGAAGCGTGGAATCGTGCCAGTTGCCGGATGTTTGCCGCGATTGACCCGCACCATTGGGCTACAACGCACGATGGATCTCGTGCTCACAGGCAGGAACGTGAGCGCCGCCACATTACATGATTGGGGTCTGATCAGTCAAGTGGTGGATTCACCGGCCGATGTTGCCCGAGCAGCAGTCCAAGTTGCCGAGGTCATGTGCAAAAACAGTCCCGATTCCCTTATTGTTGGCCGTCTGGGTGTTCGGATGAGCTGGGAAGCTGGCAGTGTAGAGGATACTGTATCAGATCTGGCGGATCAATGGTATCCTCAGTTGGTTGGGGGTCCTAACTTTGCCGAAGGCATCCAGGCGTTTGTGGAGAAACGGTCACCAAGCTGGAAGAATTCGAAATTGTGAGAGTCCACTCACATTACCGTAACTCCGTAATCAGATTGGTGGCGCAACCAGTTTCCACCATCGGATGGCGGTGCCATGGTTGATGGTGGGACATGTACTTATCTGATTAAAATGCAACCTTGGAACGCGACGTAATTAATGTAATTTTTCTTTGAACTTTTCTTCGATGTTTGGGTGCAAAATAGAATGCACGTGTTCCACGTGGTAAGCAAGTAAGCACTCTAAACTAGGTAGAGGAAGAGGTGTGTGTGCATTCACCAGAATACCCAGGGAAATACATAGATCTATCTAATCTAGATGTCTGTTTCGTTGAAATCCGTATAATACCACTGCACACATCTTATATATCTCTAGTACCTACGGAGTACAACGGGGTGAATCCGCACGGATCTCGTACGTTTAGCAGCTTTTAGTGCTGGCCATGATACCTAGACGCACTGACCCAATCTAATTCATTAATATTTGTGTTTTCTTATTTCTTTTTTTGGCTTTTGTCGCGGTGGGACAATTCCACCATGTGTGCCAAGATATGCCAAGATCGGCTCACGTATTATATGCCTCAATCGGAGGCTTCAAACAGTTCTATCATCGGCTAACATTGCCTTAGGTGCATCTATCTGCAAAACCTATTATTCATGCAATCTGATTAGATTCTGTCTTTGGAATATCACATTCTGATCAATGCCCCAAGCGGGCTACCCACACATGGCCGACCTAAAAAAAAGTCTAATGAGGGAGAAAAAGAGGTCGACTACTTGATTATTACCCACTGAATTAACACTAGGACGTTGCCAAGACTCTTCTTACTGGTTCATTTTTCACTTCTTGGCTTGCATTAGTCTTCCATGATTGTACTAATCTACCGAGTTCGGTATTTTTTATTAAGCGCTGGATCTAGAGCACTGATAACCAGAGGTTAAATTTACTATAAGGACATGGATTCCCTTGGGCTCAGTGGCTTTTCTGAGTTCCATCAACCTACTTTTTATATTTTCAGATCTCCAAATCATCATGGGTATGCGGATCCTCTCCCGGCGGTCATCGACCCAGGAGTCTATTACTCAAGCCGATGTGCCCACTGATGGCGAAAAAAAGAGCGAAATGACCACCGAGGCCGGTGTTTTACCCAACAAGGAAGATCTTGAGGTTCCTACAGAAGATCTACAGCAGGGTGTCAAAAATGTCGAGGCTGTGACTTTGACCTGGACGAGGACCATGCTCATCGCGGTCTTTGTAAAGTAAGCCCTTGTCTTTTTACATTGACGGGGCGATCAACCCGTGCAAACCGACTTGTTCACTAACATGTATCGCCAATAGCATCTGGTTCTTGTACTTCGTCAATGCGATGCAATCCACGATCAACTACAGTTTGCTCAGCTATGTCACCAGTGACTTCGAGAGCCATTCCCTACTCAATGTCATCTATATTGTCGCAGACGCCATGACAGCCGCAGTGTATATCCCCACTGCCAAGGTTATGGACGTTTGGGGCCGTGCAGAAGGCTTCCTGGCCATGACCGTGTTTGCTACGCTCGGTCTGATTCTCATGGCTGTGTGCAACAACCTTCCCACGTTCTGCGCTGCCTACGTCTTCTACAGCATTGGATTTGGAGGTATGACATACTGTGTGGATGTCATCACCGCCGATATTTCCAAGCTCAAGAATCGAGGTTTGGCTTACGCTTTCACCTCCTCGCCATACATCATCACAGCGTTCGCTGGCCCCAAGGCTGCGGAGGGCTTCTACGAGGACATTAGCTGGAGATGGGCCTTTGGTGCCTTCTCCATAATCTTCCCCATTGTTGCCTCCCCTCTTTACTTCATCCTGAAGGCCAACCTGAAGAAGGCCGAGAAGAATGGTCTCGTTGTCAAAGAGCCTAGCGGCCGGACTTTCCTCCAAAGCATTTGGTACTATACCAAGGAGTTTGACTGTGAGTAAAAAGCTTTCCAAAGCGTTTGCCCTTGCAAAATACTAACTTGCACAGTGTTTGGTGTTTTGGTGTTCTCTATCGGCCTTACGATCTTCCTCCTTCCTTTCAGCATTTCTACTTACGCTCCTAACGGCTGGGCATCAGGCTACATCATTGCGATGATCGTGCTCGGATTTGTTATGCTTGGCGTCTTCCTCATTTGGGAGTTCCGCTTTGCTCCCACCCCGATGTTCAACTTCAGTCTATTGACTGATCGAACTATCATTGGTGCATGCTTGCTCGACGCGACATACCAGCTCTCTTACTACTGCTGGAACAACTACTATACATCCTTTTTGCAGGTAGTCAATAACCTCAGCATCTCCGAGGCTGGTTACGTTAGCAACACTTTCGACGTTGTCTCCGGCTTCCTTTTGCTTGGAGTCGGTTACATCATTCGCAGGACTGGCCGCTTCAAGTGGACTCTCTACATTGCGGTTCCGCTGTACATCTTTGCCCAGGGATTGATGATTCACTTCCGCCGTCCCAACCAATCCGTTGGTTATCTTGTTATGTGCCAGATTTTCATCTCTATTGGTGGATCTGTCTTCATCATTGTTGAGCAGCTTGCTATCTTGGCTGCCGCCGACCACCAGCACGTCGCAACTGTCCTTGCTCTGCTGAACGTCGTGGGTACTGTCGGCAATGCTGCTGGTTCTACCATTTGTGCCGCAATCTGGACCAACACTTTCCACAAGGCCCTTGAGACGAGGCTTCCACAGTCTGTAATGGGAGAGATCGATTTAATTTATGAAGATCTTGCCCAGCAGATATCCTACCCCGTTGGATCTGCCGCGAGACTGGCTATTCAGGAAGCTTATGCCTATTCTCAGACAAGAATGCTTGCTGTTGGCACCGGTCTCATGGGTCTCTGCATCTTCTGGTCCCTCATGATCCGCGACATCGACCTGAAGAAGGTTGCTCAAGTCAAGGGTACCGTCTTCTAAGGTGTTTGCCTTCGCATTTGAAGATAATTTTCGACAACAACATTGTTTATGACCCATTTCCTATTATATCCAAAATACGACTAGCTGCCTGCCCTCGGGCGGTTATCGACCGGCTTTGCTTTTTGTAACTTAGTGAATTTTTAAATAACGATCTGAATGCGGAATGTTATGACTATCCGAACCAATTTTTCTATTCTTGTAATCTGTAAAGCCCTCTTGGAAACGACCTTTTGAGGCATGTTAATAACATATGCTGCGACGCATCATCGGATGTTTATTCCACTCTTGGCATTATACGCCAAGAATCGCAGGAGCCTACGCCGAGTTTTCAGCGACCCGTGGACCTGCAGCTCGCTTAGTGTTTGTTTTCGTTTACCGAAAGAACAGCGGTATGGTATGTAGTAATGTATTTTGTATTTTGGTACTTTAAATAAGTTACAAAACATACCGCTAGTAAGTATGTACGTAATATATGTATCTAAAAATCTGTGTCCATTTTCTTTAACTAAATAATACATAGTTAACTACACATCACTAGTTATGGTCTGTACCTACCTTAATAGTTTCCGGAGTAAAAAGCCGAGTGTCATCTGAACAGATCCACGTTTGACTAGAGCTCATCCACTCTAAGGTGGAACCAGGAACCAAAAAGATCTGATAACTTTTTTTTCCAGTTGCGCCTTTGCCGTCTTTGCATCCCTCTACTCTCGGAGCAGAAGGAGACTCGAAAATTATAAGTTATGTAAGTGATTTTGACAAGTCTCCCGGAACTTTTTACGAGTCTCCCCGAGCTGAAACCCGATGGCATCCCAGTAAACCCCCTTCCTTTCGGCTCAAACCGGCCTGGTCACATATAGCTGAAGATTTCGATCCACATCGTTTCAATTAGCATAGCGATAATAACCTGGCAGCTGGGTTCGGACTCCGGACTGATTGATCTCCCAGGAACATTTCCTCCTATGGCAATACAAGCCGAGCTTCTACCACATTGCTGAGTGGGTATGGCCGCGTGCCTCGGGCTAGTCGGATGCTTCTCGGTTTCCTTTCTGTAAACGTTCCGAATGGTAACTATCGAATCTGATAATTTGTCTGATTATCTGATTAGATTGATCTACTTGTCTGGGTTCTTCTAGCGTACTGTGGCGCTTTTATCTGATCCGAAGGCCCTTCGGTGGATATTCAGACACATGGCCCGCCAAATGGTAGCACATGGTCCCCTGTGGATGTCCGGACTTTGCCGACTTAATCTAATAACACCTCTGCACTATATCCATTACGTACTTCAAAAAGGAGCAACCTGGTAGCATGGGTTCGACTGCCTGGTAAAAAGAATGAAGCCTTGTTGGATGACCTATCGGATGATTCTTGCCCCTGAGCCTGAATCCCATTGAACGTCAGGTAGCAGTTTCTATAATCCCTAGTGGATAGTTATGTGACATGTCTTGATAAAGACTTGGGATTCAAGCCGGGTAGTTGGCTTGGAAGGCATCAGGAACAGGTATAGTTCTCTAGCGATATACCTCCACAGTTCGAGCCCTCTTAAGCACTTGTAGTTATCACTCTCTTTTACCTGGAATGTATCTCTAGCGACGCCTCGCTCGCAACAACGCCCGTAATGAGGAATGAAGACGCTATATAAACGATAGAACAGTAGAGGGCACTGAGATATATATTTGTCTCATAGGAGAGAACGGAGGAGAGGCATTGATGATATTTATGCTGGGCATATCTTACTATTGATATTGTTTTCTCTCTACCTTGCCTGGAAGCAATCCCCAATGACCTAATTATGTACCACGCAGTTGTTGCACGTGACCGCAAAGCCCTCAAATGCTTGGCCTCATTGTTGAGAGGGCGTATATCCAGCCACCATAGCAGGCTATGAGACATGATCCAAGCTTTTTCATGAAGGATAATCATGTGTGCAGTGCAAATTGCTACCGTTTCCCTATTGTGACTTCTAAATCTGTAGTGTTTGATATGCTGCTATGGGACCCGGACGCGAAGCATGATCGCCATGGCGATGTTGGGCAAATAATCGTAAGCTCAATAGCGAGAAATTATAATCAGTTCTCTGCCCCAAATCAGAGTGCTTCTATCGTTGTTATACATCTGTCGCTTCTTACTTCTCTTTACTCTAGGCTTCTGTCTCTTCTGTCTCTTCTTTCACTTTTCTGCTTCACAGTCTATCCAGACACAGAGCATTTTACAATTTTGTTGCGACACTAATTGATCTCAATAAAAACTTTCCGACTTCATCGAGTGCGTGTCCTTTTGTGCTAGTGCTTCCTCCACTACGTGCTTTGTCTTCTATTTGGCTCTTCGCTTTCAAGATTAACCAAGTCTCCTCTTAATAAGATTACCTTCAGGCCAAATTTTGTAAACAGTCCCATCAAATGTCTCTTTCGTCTCTCATCGTCTCTCGTCGTTTACCGTCTCGTTTGAGATCAACCAATATGGCCCCTCCGCCCTCCTGCATCGCCGCCCGAGAGGGTGACGTATATGCCGACTTAATAATGATTAAGATGCATCTTTCCATGACTGAGACAACTATCAAAGAATTCCATGACACCTTGTGCAGGAAGTCCATGCAGGATATTCCATGGATCCATGCGCAGTTTGATTACCTTAATCCATTCTTTATTTTGTCGGAAGAACCCACTGAAAGCCTCATCAATCCATGTGTGGAATATGGAAGTTTGGCCCACAAGATGCAAGCTTTACAAGGCCAGATGGGCTAGACTCTCTGGTTACTCTACCTAATCACAGGTAGGGGAAGGAGGATGTGATGATGGCGAGTCTTGTGCCTAGAGGAGACAGTATGCAGATGTCCTACAAGATGAATGTAATAAGATGAATACATATGTAAGGTATGTAATAATCTCAAGTTGGCAATATAACATACGGAAGTAATTGATGCCTAAAGCCGCCTAGTAGACACGTAGATGCCTCAGGTTCCTTCCCTTTTTGGGTGATGAGTGTTACGAGCCAAGCCTTTGAATGAAAGAGTGCATTAAACGAGAAAAGCAAAGATGGGAAGAAAAGAAGAAGAGAAGAAAGATGCAGGGAGAGATCCAGAGGGGTTGATATAGTGCTGGATCTCTGCAAACATAGGAACAATGCAAACATCAGACCCTTTCCCAAATAGGCTTAGTAGGCATGCCCAATTAGGCATAGTAGCACTTCATCAAACAAAGGAAGAAAGCAAACAAAGAACGATCTTGACATGTGATGAAGCATGTGATAATTGTCGATCGTGACAATGGGCACCGTTTGCACTTTCCCCGTTTGTCTTCAGCCACTGGGAAGGTATAAATACCCCCTTCCCCCATTTCTCTCTCCTTTTTTTTTCTTCCTTCTTCAACACCCTGGGTCCACATTGCACATCGTGGTTCCTGACTCCAGGTAAGTGATGCGGTCCAGGTTAGTCTGCCAATAGACTGGGGCTTCGGCTCTAGTCTAGACACGAAGCATGTCGACTTGTTCCCCTCGCGACCTCTGCGGATACAGACTGTAATATCCTGGAGTCTCCGCTTCCTGTGAGCTCAAAACCTTTCTCCTGACTCCGGGCAAGTGCCGCGGTCCAGGTTAGTCTGCCAATAGACTGGGGCTTCGGCTCTAGTCTAGACACGAAGCATGTCGACTTGTTCCCCTCGCGACCTCTGCGGATACAGACTGTAATATCCTGGAGTCTCCGCTTCCTGTGAGCTCAAAACCTTTCTCCTGACTCCGGGCAAGTGCCGCGGTCCAGGTTAGTCTGCCAATAGACTGGGGCTTCGGCTCTAGTCTAGACACGAAGCATGTCGACTTGTTCCCCTCGCGACCTCTGTGGATACAGACTGTAATTTCCTGGAGTCTCCACTTCCTGTGAGCTCAAAACCGTGCTCTTTGAGCCAATTTTTGGAACCTATCTTACAGAGACAGCGCTCTGTTGCCTGAGGAATTCTCTGAGGGCATTCTCTTTTCTTGAAGGTTCCTTCTTTCACAGTCCGTTTGTGACTGCTGCATTCAGTGCTTGATGCTTTGTGGGCTCTGTCTATTCTCATTCATGTCAAACTATTATCATTCACTCCTGTCCCCTCCTTCTCCCCCTCCCCCTGTCACGATTGACAATCATCACATGCTTTGACACATGCTTTGTCACATGTCAAGATCGTTCTTCCGTTGTTTGCTTGCGTTCTTTGTTTGTATATCAACCCCTCTGGATTCTCTTTCTGCGTCTTTCTCTCTTCTCCCCATCTTTGCTTTTCTAGTTTAATGCACTCTTTCAATCAAAGTCTTGGCTCGTAACACCTCTCCCTTCCCCTTCTCTTTCTCTTTCTCTTTATTTCAAGGGTTGTAGATGTTCTTACCAGTAACAATACACATTCACTCATGTAAATCTGAATCATATTGACCCCTACCAGTGGACTCATGGTACATGAACCTGTACAACCTTCCAAGGTTGACTAAACTTGTTCTTGGTTAATGCAAACAAGTATTCCACCATGAACTAAGGCTACAGTGAGCTAGAGATAATCCTTTGGTATATCATATATTCAATGGAGGATCAAGGATGATGATTTCGGAACGGCCTCCATAGCAACTGCGACAACCTACCTACACTGGCTCGAATCAACCTGTTCCGAGAAGAAGTGGGCTTGCCTTTGATCGAAAACATTCCTAATGCCTTGCGACTTGCGAGGCCGGTCGATATTGCCCTCAGTGATGTTACCCCTGTGAGGATTTCGGAGCTCAAGTATGTCATCGGGTGGCATAAAAGGGCCCACTTCTATCTTGAGGTCGAAGCAGCCAGATGCAAGGATATCTTGCTTAATCGGCGGCAGGTTCTTCTAGAGAAGGTAGGTATTGATATATCTACTTTTTTTGAAGATTGTATAACTGACATACTTTCTCATAAGCCCGATCACGGCGTTGTATCACATCCTCCTTCCGGTAATACAGGCAACCAAATTCATAAAGACGACTGTGACAGACTGGCTACAAAAAGCCTACTTAAGGAGAATGAGAGCCCATCTAGTATATCAGTCATCACTATCAACCAGAGGGAGCGGAAGAACCACAAAAGGAAGAGCAAGGTAGTTGCAAATGGAGCGCTGTCGCAGGTCTCTTCTGGCTCAGCTGAAGGTGATGATTCGGTCAAAGAACCTACGAAGGACCTTATCTCGCCAAACTTATTGCCGGTTCCAACCATCTCTACTGAGTCGGGCAGCTCTTCCCACTCTCCCATACTTAGAGCTCGACCTATCAACTCCAGGGAGAGAGATCTTCTCGACTCCCTATATGAGATGCTTGTCGAATGTGCAAACCGCACTGATAGCCGGGCCCTTCGAGCTGTCAAGTCTAAAGCCCCCACGCTGTGTTCTAACGGCGAGACTCTTGTGGGACAGGCAAACCAGCGCCGGCGAGAGAGAGAGAGCCGACTTTCCATCACAATTCCCTCACTTTCACTTCACTCTCTCAGTCTGGAGGTATCGTCGCCTCGCCCTTCTTTTGAGACACCAAAGAATAGGATTGAGGATGAAGAACGGCCACCATCTGCTCCTCCTGCCCTTCTCCACCCACAGCCCAAAACTTCCACATACTCGGACTCAACATTTACAAACCCGTGGAACCGACCTGCGTCAGCGTCCAGCAATTTGCCGCGCAAGCAGACTATCCGAACTGTGTCATCCTAGGACTCCAGTTCGAGATAATCGCCGCACATAATACAATCAAGCGATGGGTCATTACTTTTGGCCGGCTACCTACAATTGTCCGGCAACTTGCCACACACGCAAATCATCCAGGAAGTATCCTACGTCTTGCTTTACGAAGGGGGATCTATGACCAAGCAGTCTACTCGCAGCATGGCGGATACAGCATGTGTGGGTTGGACCACGCATGTGCGACGAACCAAGGTAGAACCGATGTTTGTGCTACAATCTTCACTACACAGACCCTTCCAGTGCATGGAATACCTGTGTGGTGTGACGGATGGGGTATGGTGAGAAAATTACAATCATCTCAATTATTTTTTGCTTTTCAATCAGATCTCGATCAGTTTCTGATCACCTTTATATGAGTTTTGCTGTATTGCGTAAGAATTCTGGCATTACTTTCAGATAGCCGCTACTTTTCACTCAAACAGACAATCCAGGAGGCTGATCTAGGGTAAATTTAGTCATATTAATCCTGGTGTTGTGGCGTGTTATGCCACCATGATAGCAACATTCCTCACTGCTATCTCTCATTTGTGAGTGGGGTGGTGAGAAAGAAAAAAGAGACTGAGAACAAGATCTAGCTGGGCTAGATATTAGGTTGGGTGTCAAATCAATCACGAATTAATGCGAAATCGACACTAAAACAACAAATAGTGGGAATGAATATAAAATACGTAGTCACAGACGGACTTGGGTATAGGTAGAAAAATGGCTATATCCACGGAGCAGGGAAATCCATGTAATAAGTGATGTGATTGAAGCACAGCCGCTGCGTGGTTCAAGTATCCAGTGTTATTCATGAAATCATAAACTTTCCATTTTGGTATCCATATCATAAAACGCAAAGGCGCCGACCATCTCTCTATACATATAGCAAGCCCATTTACCATTCTTTCGGGTAAAGAAAGCTTACTGCTTGTCGGGGAAGCCGAAGTTGACACCGAACGGAGGGTAGACAAAGCGCTGAACCTTGCCCTCAGCCTGGAGGCCATCGCTGTACTTGCGAAGGGAAGCCAGATCCTCAGCGTCCAAGTGGATCAAGTCGGTACGGTTGGCCTCAATGCGGGCAGGGGTGACGGACTTGGCCAGGACTGAAGAGCCACGGGCGACTAGGAGGATAACCAGTCAGTACAATTTATCTCGTATAGGGTGCAAATTCTGAGGAATACTTACTGTGCCAGCTGAGCAGAACAGTAGCCGGAGTAACTCCGCGCTTCTCGGCAACGGCCACGATAGGCTCAGCAGTGAATAGCGGGCTGCCGGTACTGCCCAGAGGGCTGTAAGCGGTGATGTGAATGCCAGCCTTGTTGCAGAAGTCGACAATCTCCTGCTGGGGGAGCAAGGGGTGGTTCTCGATCTGGTTGGCAGCGGGGACAATGGTGGCGTGGGGCATAAGTTCTTCGAGGAACTGGAGACTGTAGTTGGAAACACCGATGGCCTTGACCTTGCCGGTGCCAACAAGCTTCTCCATGCTCTTCCAAGTAGTGACGTGAGAGTGGCTGTGGTCAATGTCCCGCGAGCCATCAGCGAGCTTGGGGAAGATGTTGTGGTTTCCTATGGTAAAACTAGTCAGCGCCTCGAATCTGCATATTTGAAGAAACTCAACTCACCCTTGGGGTTCATTGCCAGGGGCCAGTGCATCAGATAGAGGTCGACATAGTCGAGTCCGAGATCTGTCAGACTCTGCTGAAGGCCCTCCTCAACACGGGCGTGGTAAGAGCACCACAGCTTAGTAGTCACGAAGAGATCCTCGCGCTTGACAATGCCGGCGTCAATTGCCTGCTTGATACCCTGACCAACTTCGTTCTCATTTCCGTAGCAAAGAGCAGCGTCAATGTGACGGTATCCCACCTTGATGGCGTGGAATACAGCGCGCTCAACCTCGCCGGGCTTCGATTGCCATGTTCCCAGGCCGAGTGCGGGGATCTCCGCGCCGGTGTTGAGCTTCAAACGGGTATCATAAGCAGCCATTTTGAATTTATAGGGTATCAAGAGACAAAGAAGATTATTTACAATATAGAATAAGGAATATAAACAAATTGAAGTTCAAATAGTATTTAAGAGAAGAAAGGCGTGGGGGGTAAGTTTACTAAGAGGAACAACACCCCGCGGTTATCGGGGTTAGGTATCCCGTAGGCCGAGTCAGGAATCAGGTCTTTTTTTCCATCAATCACCTCATCGTCTTCTAAGAGATTCGATATTCTCTCATTATTTCCTCCAAGGGGCATATTATCTTCATCAATCTCATCAATCTCATCGACCTAAAAAAGAATAAAGATCCCCCCGCCACAATAACCGTCACACCAAAATCCAGATGATAAAAATTAGCGGAAACCGTCTTCCAGTTCGACTAATTTCTCTCCACTTAACATCAAAGTCACTTCACATGGTTGGCTTATGATCGTGGGGTCGTGGTGGCTGCCAATCATCGTCGTCCTTTTGGAGAGCAACCCAGATCTTCATCGATACGGAAGCCAGAATCCGTGATGTTTCATAATTTTTCGTCCCGCACATGTTGCACATCGATGTCATGGCAAATCAGGCAAATCAGGCAAATGGATCTGAGAAGAATCCTCGCACAATCACTGACATCGGAAATCTACACGCGACATACCCTATAGTAGATTTTTCTAACCAACCCTATATATATACACTCGACGTCCTAGGGTCTATCTCTGTTTCAACTCCAGACATTCCTATTTGATAATTACAATCTCATTTGGCAATTTCAAGCCTCGAACTCAAATTCTATAAGAATCAAGGGACACTACTTCTCGCACACAGTCAAAATGGCGCCAGTCGCCGTCTCCCCACAAGCCTCCCCTGTCTTCAAGAAGCGGGATGGCCAGGCTCTCGAAGAGCTCTCCGACGCTATTGACGAGGTCAACGTCCTCAAAGACATGAAGAAGCGCGAGGCCGAAAAGAAAGAGGCTGAAGAGAAGGGTCTATACGAAGAGTCCGAGTTCGACAAGGAGAAAAACAAGGCCAACTTCCGCCAGTACGAAGACGCCAGCGACCGAGTCAAGAACTTCTACCAGGAACAGCACACCAAGCAGACAATGGCATACAACCTGAAGGCCCGCCACGACTTCCACAGCAAGACTCGTGCCGAGATGACCGTCTGGGAAGCCATGGAGAAACTCAACACCCTGATTGACGAGTCTGATCCCGACACCAGCCTTTCCCAGATTGAGCACCTCCTCCAGTCTGCCGAGGCCATTCGCCGCGACGGCAAGCCCCGCTGGATGCAGCTGACCGGTCTGATCCACGACCTGGGCAAGCTCCTCTTTTTCTTCGATGCCGAAGGCCAATGGGACGTTGTCGGCGACACTTTCCCTGTCGGCTGTGCCTTCGATGACAAAATCGTCTACGGCCGTGACTCGTTCCGCGATAACGAGGATTTCGGCCACAAGATTTACGATACTAAGTTTGGTATCTATACGCCTGGCTGCGGTCTCGATAATGTCATGCTCTCCTGGGGCCACGATGAGTACCTGTACCACCTCGCTAAGGAGCAGTCGACTCTTCCCGATGAGGCACTCGCTATGATCCGCTATCACTCTTTCTACCCTTGGCACAGCGCCGGTGCGTACCATGAGTTGATGAATGACCACGACCGTGATATGCTGCGTGCTGTCAAGGCTTTCAATCCTTATGACTTGTACAGCAAGAGTGATGGAATTCCCAGTGTTGAGGAGTTGAAGGTACGTTTTTTTTTGCTTCTGCTGATGATTTGTGAATTCGAAGCTGACCTGTTTCTTTCTAGCCGTATTACATGGAGCTCATTAACGAGTACTTCCCCACCAAGGTCCTGAAGTGGTAGATGTCTGCGACTTGCTCTCTATGCATCTTCTTCCCACACACTTTGTTTCATGATTCCCCTTTTTCTTCTTTTTCAGTTCCATTGAAATAGCCACGAAATAGCCACGATACGTGCCGTCACATTCAATTAGCGTTACAAATCCTACTTTTTCCAACCCTTCCAGGCAATGAAATCCAGAAACTAGACTGTTAGAGACGATTGTAATCAACTATTCAACACATTGTTTTATACACCGGAAAACTATCGAGTTTCATAGTCTACAGTCGAGCACTTAGCTTTCTTGACTCTTCAATAACCTCACAATGACTTGCCAATACAAAAGGTACTTAGGCACCCCATGAGCATACCTAGGTACATAACGTACTTTTTCTCGGCCCTCGAACTAGCCAGTAATAGAAAGAGTACAATATATAGTGCTAGTCTAGCTTAATTAAATGATAGTATTAATTGTTAGTATTTAATACGGAAGAAGAATAACTATTTAGAATAGCACCATATACATTTTCCCTATGTTTATGGGGTACCTAAGTACCTTTTGTATTGGTAAGTCATACAAAATTACTTAATTTCTAGATTTTGCGGCGCACCAACAACCGGAACGGTGTGTAGGAACTTGGGCGCTTGGCACGGCTACTGGCCTAAACTATCAAGCATCGCATCCATCCGAATTTCCACTGCCTACCAGGAACAATTTCCCTTCAGTGTTGCAAGATTGTAGAGTTAGATGACATCTGGAGTCTACACTGAACTGAAATACAAGATTGCATCCATATTGAAAGTCATATATCGTCTCATTTGCAAAAGGGCATTTATAACAACTTTGAACGTATGCATGGTGTATATTTTGAAACTCCAGAGACAAAGCACACATTATTCACAGACGAGACACCTCAGACCGGGTTCCATCCTCATCGAAGAAGATCTTCTTCCCGCTAATCAAGGACTCCTGCAACGCAGCCCCAATCCTCACAGCCTTAACAGCATTGTTCAGGTCAATCGGCAACGCCGTGTTATCTAGACAAGCAGCGGAGAACTCATTCGCCTCGGTAACAAACGCATACTCAAAGCGATCATAGTAGTTCTGAGGAATCTCCCTCCTGATACCAGACTCATCATAGATATTAACATGGTTCAGGGCAGGCTGGGTGTTAACCGCGAGTTTTCCCTTGGTGCCAATGATCTCCGTAGTATCCTCCTGACCAGCAGCCATCATACGGGAAGCATAGAAGTATGCAATGCGGCCATCGTAGAACTCGACCAAGCCGACGGCATTATCACGGTCGTTGTGCTTGCGGAGATCGGGCTCGACGGCGGTGTTGCCTACGGCCGATACGGACTTCACTTTGCAGTTGTCGCCGAAGAACCAGAGTGTGAGGTCGATGTCGTGGATGGAGCAGTCGACGAAGATTCCGCCAGAGAACTCTGCGTATGCGACGAAGAACCCGGTTGGGTCGAGTTTGTCGCAGGTTTGGCTGCGGAGGACGGAGGCGGTGCCGATTGCGCCTGATTGCATTTTTTCGTGGGCGTCGCGGTAGGACTTGTCGAAGCGGCGGGAGAAGCCGCACATCACTTTCAGGTGTGGCTTCTTGAATGCTGCGTCGACCACGGATTGGGACTGTAAAAGAGGGGGATTGTTAGTTTTCGGTTTCAATGTTTTTGTTTCTGTAGACTAGACACAATTGGGGTTGAGATGGATTCAAAAGATAACCAACTTACCACTTCGGGGCTTGTAGAGATGGGCTTCTCGCAAAGAGTGTGCTTGTCTGCTTGAATTGCCTTGATTGCTTGCTCGGCATGCACTGCAGTTGCCGACGCAACCACCACGGCTACCAGACCTTCATGCTTGAGCATGTCGTCGTAGTTCTGGTACAGAGTTACGCCATAAGGTTCGAGGTGAATCTTGGCCCATTCGAGTTCGACAGGGTCAGGGGAGCTGGCAGCCACAAGCTCAGCTCGGGGGGTACGCTCCAGGAAGTTTAGGGCATGGCGCTTGCCCATACGGCCGAGACCAGCACAGCCGATCTTCAATCTTTGAGCAGTCATTGTGTATAGAATGTGCAGGTCAAAGAAAGATATCAAGAGAAACAAAAAATAAAAGTCAATTGCTAATTAAAAAAGGAAGAATGTTTGAAAACTGAGCTGGGAGTTATAAACTCCCGGGGGAACTAAATGCGGAGTAGCGGAGGCCAGTCTCCGAAGATCTTCTCCGCAATCGTGGGGTCGGAAAGTGAATTCCACACCGACCAACTTCAAATATTAGGCTATTCACTATGTTGTAGTTAATTCATACTCCAAATTCATGCTCCCTCGGATTTCTTTGATTCCCGTCGCAATCTGCGTTTAGCAATATCCACTGGATCTCCAAATCCATCACCCCTCATCCAAGTCAGAGCCTTGCGAAGTCCACCACCCTGCACGGCCTCGGGCTTCCCCTCAAGGATCGATCCCATAAGCGCCCAGGACAGAACAAGCAACAGTAGCTCACCGCCCCTTCGACCCTTCCATAGTCCACGCTTGACCCCTGTCTTGTATGCTGAATCAACAGCGGCCCGGAAGAACCAGAGGAATGTGCTACGGCTATTGCCCAGGAACAAAAATGGCAAACCTCCCAATGCCCCACTAAGGAAGAAGCGCTTGGTAGGAAGCGTTGTTCGGGGAAAGTTGTTGTTCAGGAGACAGACACTACCCCAGGCTGAGCCAATTGCAGCAGAGAGAACCGCTGTCATGGTGATAATGCGCTTCGAGAGAGTGTTCACTGATGAAATAGGCTCAAGCAGAATGCTCTTAAATTTGGGGATCGAAAGGGCCAGAGTGACGGTCGTGAGGAACCGCGCAAGCGGTGGCACAGACAGGAGAATGTGATGCAAGAATGCCGTGCTACAGTTCGGGAGGTTCGGGTGCAAGAGAGCGCATGATAGACTCGAAATTGCAGGGTGTGCTGGTCCAGTGATTGGAGAGATGGAAGCCACTGATGACGGCAAGGTGTTGGGGTCGCCCGGGTGTAGAATTGGAGAGACGAATGCCCTGCATCATGTTAACGACCGCTATACTCTTTAACAGATTCAACTTCAAACATACGGCCAGCCGAGATCAGCAATAGAGGCAAGAGAGTTCACAATCTCTTCCTTCTCGGGCCAGGCGATGTCGACCGGGAGCGACTCCGGTCGGCCTTGGATGTAGCTCGGCGACAGCTTGAGAATGACATTTCCAAACCACTATGGTATCAAATTAGCGACCGTAACTCAAGTGTAAAAACAATCCCGACCACAAACATTAGGCGTAGTCTCGCGGTCAAACACAAAGGCATGGAAGAGCTGCGCAAATGAGATGGGCATCAACAGCCAGCTGCCGAACCACCACGGGCGCTTATTTAGCCAGCCTTTAGAGTCTAGGACATTGAACAAGAACTCCAAACTCCTGGTGCCTGTGTAAATCGCCGCAGTCAGTCGAAGCTGGTCCTGCGGGCAGATGCCCAGAGCGAACCCCGCCAGACTTGCGCCGATCGCTGGCGCAAAGCGCGAGGTCAGCGCCCGCGAGATGCGCGGGTTGCGCTCTCTAAATGGCTTTGCGTCATCGGTACGAAGGTTGGCTCGCAGTCGGGTGAGGAACCGGTAGAGCAGGCGATGGATGAGAAGGAGGAGGGAGAGGGAGATGGAGAGACGGAATTTAGGAGACCGAAAGAGGGGAGTTCGGGTCTTTTTCCTGTTGGTTAGAGCCAGTGTTAGTACAAATTCCTAAATGAGAAGAGGCTCTTGGTATATTAAATTGATCTTACTGTGGAGCGCCTTGGAACCGAGTGATCAACAGATCCGCCAACTTCAACGCGATCCCGGAACCAACAAATACTCGTATCGATGAGCGAATAGCAGCTTCACTGTGTCGATTCTTTGGACGGGCGATGACATCGTAGCGAGATGGAGATGGGAGCTTGTTTTGGACGGCAGGGGCTCGTTTGATCACTGATTCGTGGAGGAATCGGTACTCTTTGGCGCTTAGACAAACGCGGAGAACGTCGCGTAAGGCACGGGGTGGAAGATGCAACGCATCCCCTGGGACTGGAGGTTTGTCCGGGTCGGACATGTTTGGAGTTGTTGTTGATGTGTAGTTAAGAGCATAACTGCCCAGGTGAAGTCCGGGGGAGAAGGGAAGCGCGGAGTAGCCCGACCTCGGCAATTCACCCCAACATATGATCTCAGTCAACATATAACTACCTAGGTAGTTATAACTAGTTATTGTATATGTTGTATATGTTGTATATATACTCTCAATAGAATAATAATTAATCTCAATATTTAGATGCCACCCTGAATTGGGAACCAGCATAAATGCATTCTTCCCTTACCAAAATTTCTGCCTCAATCTCCATCAGCCGATTATTCTTGACCACTCTCTCACCCCTGCAAGGTGCCCCAGGTTTAATATGACCAGTCCTTAATCCCACGACCAAATCTGCAATAAAATCATCGAAGGATTCACCAGAACGGTGGGATACGAAAACAGTCCAGTCAAAACTGTATGCCAAGTTCGCCCTATATGAATATATAATTAGGATATTGTTTCCAGATTAATAGGGGGAAAACCTAAGAGAAACTAACGCCTCAATTGCTTCGGAGATAGTTCCTATTTGGTAGATTTTGAGTAGCATAGAATTACATGCTCTCTTATCATTGGCCTCTTGCACGTCTTTCGGATTCATGACCAGCAAATCATCCCCAACCAGTTCGATTGGACAATTTTGGTTGAATTCGATCCAACTGTCCCAATCAGTTTTGGCAAACGGATCTTCCAGTAGAACGATGGGATAAGTTTGCAACAATGAGCGATATAACTCTGCAAGCTGTTTTGGGCTTTGCAAGTTCGGTTTGTCGTCTTTGAACCCAATGTCATAGTTCCCATCCCTAAAGAATTCGCTCGATGCAGGATCAATGGCGAATTTAATCCGATCCGTATATCCAGCAAGAGAGACGGCTTCAACTAGGAGGTCGAGTGCCTCATGGGGCTGGGAAATCGGTGGTGCAAATCCCCCTTCGTCCCCAACCCCAGTAGCTTGAATGCAATTATCAGTAATGGCTATATGGGATAATGTGAAAGGTACGCTAACCAGATGGTCCAAATTTCTTAACAATGACCTTCTTCAGCTGCTGGTAAACCTCGCTACCCATTTGTACTGCTTCCGTGAAAGAGGAGGCGCCAACAGGAGCGATCATCGTCTCTTGAAAAGCCATCTTATTGCCCGAATGCACACCTCCATTCAGGACATTGAAGAACGGCACTGGCATCACGAATGGTTTTTTTGCTCCAGATTCACGTCGAAGAAACTCATACAGCGGAATATCCTAAATATATATCAGCCCATAGGTTTCGTTTCCATCGTTAGTCTCAATTCCGACTTACTAAATGGGCCGCACCCGCTCTAGCACATGCCATACTGACGCCTAGGATAGCGTTCGCTCCGAGCTTCGACTTGTTGTGCGTACCATCCAGATTATTCAGAAAACAATCAATCATTTTCTGGTGTGTATCAACCTTGAGCCCGCTCTGTACTAGGGCAGGACCAATGACCAGTTCAATGTTCAAAACTGCTTTCTGAGCGCCTTCACCACCGTATGCTGAACTATCCTTGTCCCGTGGCTCAATGGTTTCATCCACACCTGTAGCCACACCAGAAGGGACGGTGGCTCGGAAGGTACCTGCAGCAGTGTAAGAAGCGAACTTGGCTATCGTCAGTGCCCTCTTACCTTTGTTCGTTGTGAGATCAACTTGAACGGCTGGGTGTCCCTGTGAATCCAAGCGCTGAGCAGCCTGGATTGACCTGATCATGGTGGATTCAAGATGCTCTAGTGTGTTGACTTGGTATGTTAAACGCTGAGGTGATCATCATTGCTATTCATCATCTATCATCAAACTGGATATTTAAAGTACAGAAGATCTTACGAGGAAGGAATGACGTAAAGTGCCTATAAACTAACCGGTGGCGATGATGTCAAGAAGATGACTGTTGATACCTACATACATACATACATATATATATATTCGCAGTGAGATCTAGTCCGGATCAACGCCTTTCTTTGTTGTATGCATCGAATTCCCATGTGCTCTCGAGCAACACGAGCCCATCATGACAACTGATCGTAAGATAAATTGGCGAGCGGAATGGAGAATGGATGTAGTTTCTAGGTAGTTCCTTATTATCTCATAGTACACTGTTCTGGCTGTATCACGGAAAGTTTTGCCGCACCTGTCTCCCATAGAAATAGTTAAAGTGCTATAAAAGATCTATTAACATACTCACAAATATTACAGTTAGGTAAAAAGAAATATCAAGTTACTACTCCCATGGGCTATATTGTTTAGCAACCTCCGAGCGTCCATACTGGATTCTTCGCAGCTAGAAGCAATATGTTCCAGGTCGCAGCACGACCTTGGAATCCACAGGATATCCGTTTGAAGGAACAATCCATATTGCAGTTTCGCTCCACTTCGTTACAGCATTGGATTGTACTGGGCCTAAAGCAGGGAATCTTTGTTTGGGCCGACTATATTAGGAACAACTCGACCATCGCATGGTTATCTCATCGCGCTCAACGAAGAAAAAAGAAAGAGAAAAAGAAAGTACGGCTATAACTACGGAGTAAGTGCGATGTGCTTGAATAGGAGGTGCTCGAATTATGGGTACCTAGGTGGATAACTATATGTACGGAGTACTTCCGGCAGTACCTTTGTAGCTCCTAAACATGATTTATCATGCACAAAGATAGTCGGCGACATGATTAAGCGGCCTTGTCTATGGTGCATTCTTGCCTCATGCCTCCGTACCCAGAAAGTGCACCAATCACACAAAAGACATGGTAAATAAAAGGGTCCGTTGTTTCAGCGCCACAGAATCTCACGGAAGAATATCTTCACGTACTTCATACTTCGTATAGAACCAGCCCTACATCGGTCAATTCTTCAAATTAAGTGCTTGGCGTGAAACACAAGCTCGATAGGGCTCCATCGATAGGGCTCCACATGGTTTGCGGTAGTGGAGATATATTATACCGGATATTGTGTGTAGGCATCGATGCTGTGTTCTCATTGGATACTAACCAGATATGTCTCGGCTTCTTTACCCGAAGATTTTCCGTGTACTAGTGGTATGTTGTAGTAATTATTCAGCAATGGATCATTTTAGCAAGGGGCTCTAGATTAGGTGGAGTTGAATGTTTCGGAGAGATGCCAAGTTGGGTGTAGCTGACCATGTGGCTAGCCCTAATAGATTGATCCAACGGAGCATCTAACAATTATCCATCCATCCCCCTGGATCTAATGACTTTCAAATGAGGGGTCGTCCCGTTTCATAAACATACTAGCGTAGGGGTTATAATGAGAATAGTGTGTAGACCAAGCATTTAAATACCGAGGCCAAGCTCGACGGAATAGCTTGTTCAGACTCATTCATTCATTCATTCTTCATTTCCTATTACACTCAAGTCGGCTAGTCCGGAACATCTACACTCTCTTTAATTGTCTGTTGATCGGACATTTACTTCAAAATGCGTACTTCTTTCGTTACCATGCTGGCCCTCGGTGCCGCCGCTGTGTCCGGTGCCCCAGCTTCTGCTCCTGTTACCGATCTCGTTGAGCGCGGCTCCTCCAGCTGTACCTTCACCTCGGCCGCCGCCGCCAAGGACGGCAAGTCTTCCTGCTCAACCATTGTGCTGGACAACATCAAGGTCCCCGCTGGCGAGACCCTCGACCTTTCCAAGCTTAAGAGCGGCACTAAGGTAGATTGTTCCGTTATTCAATCGCCAAGAACCAAAGATCTAATAGCTACTGTATAGGTCATCTTCAAGGGTGAAACCACCTTCGGATACAAGGAGTGGAAGGGTCCCCTCATCCGCTTCTCTGGAGACAACATTGACGTCTCCGGTGCATCCGGCCATGTTATCAACGGTGGAGGCGCTAGCTGGTGGGACGGCAAGGGAACCAACGGCGGAAAGAAGAAGCCCAAGTTCTTCTACGCCCACAAGCTGGACAACTCGAAAATCTCCGGTCTTAACGTCAAGAACACCCCCGTTCAGGGTTTCAGTGTCCAGGCCAACCACCTGGTCCTCGACCACATCACCATCGACAACAGCGATGGTGATTCCAACGGCGGCCACAACACCGATGCCTTCGATGTTGGTGAAAGTACCTACATCACCATCAGCAACGCCAACATCAAGAACCAAGACGATTGCATGGCTGTCAACTCTGGCGAGGTAAGCCAAAAGATAACTCCTACTACAAAGGATACATCAACTAACCCTTGTCCTCCAGCACATCACTTTCACTGGTGGCACCTGCTCCGGTGGCCACGGTATCTCCATCGGTTCCGTTGGTGGACGCGACAACAACATCGTGAAGGATGTCACCATCTCCGACTCCAGCGTTGTCAACTCCGACAACGGTGTCCGCGTCAAGACCATCTCCGAGGCCACCGGTGCCGTCTCCGGCGTCACTTTCTCCAACATCAAGCTGTCCAACATCGCCAAGTACGGTATCATCATTGAGCAGGATTATGAGAACGGCAGCCCTACCGGCAAGCCCACCACCGGTGTCCCCATTACCGACCTCAAGGTTGAGAAGGTTACCGGTACCGTTAAGAGCAGCGGTACTGACGTCTACATTCTCTGCGGTAAGGATAGCTGCAAGAACTGGACCTGGTCTGGAAACGACGTCACTGGTGGTAAGAAGAGCAGCAAGTGCTCTGGTGTTCCTTCCGGCGCTTCTTGCTAGATTGCCAGCGATCAAATGGTGATTAATAAACGGCATGACACCAGAGACTGGGTTATCTTCAAGACAAGACAAATTTGACTGGATGACCTAGTGTATCATGAGGTGAAATAGCTGCTAGTCGCATAGTTCTTTTGAACATAATTGTACTTATATAGCCATCTATAGATGGATTTTAAAATGAATGGTTTTCAACCTTCTTAATGTTGGCTTATAATAACTATACTCTAAAACTGTAAACCATAACTGAGATTAGCACAACTTGCTCCTATATTCAATTTCTACATATATGTAACTACCAATTTCTATCTGCAACCCCACATGGATCTAGGTGTTTTCCCAATTATAAATCAACGCCAAGCTTACCGTTTGGGAGGAATTGCGATGACGTAACGAGGTATTTCCCTGAGATCACTAACTATCACACATCTACTCTCATACACAAAGACTCATCCAAATTATAAACTAAAAATGCATGTCCTTCTACTCGGCGGTCACGGCAAAGTTGCCCTCCATCTCACTCCACTCCTCCTCAAACGGGCCTGGAGCGTAACCAGCGTCATCCGCAACCCGACACACGAAAGCGAGATTCTAGCTCTGGGTCAAGGCCTCAAGGGCACCCTCAACGTCCTACTCTCGAGTCTAGAGGACGTGAAGAGTCCCACAGATGCTCAGAAAATCATCGACACGGTTACGCCGGACTATGTGGTCTGGTCGGCTGGTATGGCACCCCTCACCCCTCACCCACCCCGCACAACACGCACATAAGCCATCCCAAAGCAAATAAAACAAGCAATCACATAAACCCCTATAACCCATGATGCAAATCCCCAAACCAAAAACTAACACGTAAACCCAGGCGCGGGCGGCAAAGGCGGCGCAGCACGCACAATCGCAATCGACCAAGAAGCCGCAAAGCATTTCATAACCGCATCCTTCGCCTCGCCAGGCGTCAGCAAATTCCTCATGGTGTCATACCTCGGCAGTCGACGCAAACAGCCGAGCTGGATGTCCGACGACGAATGGGCGGGCGTAGTAAAGATGAACACGGAAGTACTTCCGACATACGCCCAAGCCAAGCAAGAAGCCGACGAGTACATGACAGCTCTGGCTACGCAGCGGAAGCGCGAGTCTGGACCAGCCCGGCCTTTCCAGGCTATTAATCTGAGACCTGGACTTTTGACTGACCAGCCTGCGACGCGGAAGGTCGAGCTGGGAATCACGCCTAAGGGTCGGGGAAGTGTTACGAGAGAGGATGTGGCGATTGCGGCGGATCTTTTGCTTGCGAGGGCTGATACGGAGGGGTGGATTGATCTTGTTAATGGGGAGGAGGGGGTTGAGGAGGCTGTTGAGAGGGTTGCCAGGGAGAAGGTTGATGCTGTTGTTGGGGAGGATGTCGAGGGTATGGTTAAGAGATTCTTTCCTTAGAGGTTTATTGGGGCCGGGGTTGAAGCTCTGGGTTTAGTTACTAGAGAAGTGCTTGGTGTTGGATATGCGTACGGGATACTTTTCGGGTCTTTCATCTTTTAAATTTGAAAATCGACAAGAATGTAAATATGAATATAACTATGGCATGAACAGATCTAAAGTGTACATTGCGTGTCATTTACAGCTTTGCTTTGGGTGCCTCGGTCGCCCCCTTGAACTTCTGCTTCAGAATCCGACGCAGGATCTTCCCACTGGGGTTCTTGGGGATCTCATCCACAAACTGCACACCACCACGCAGACGCTTGTGGCTGGCAACCTTGCCATCCAGCCATTTGATGATCATCGCTGCTTGATCCTTCGCACTTGTTCCGGAAGACTTGCTCTTCGCGCTGCGAACAACACAAGCCATAGGAACCTCGGAACCGTGTGCCTCACTCTCAATACCAATAACAGCGACATCATCAATAGCATCGTTGTCAACCAGATATCCCTCCAGTTCAGCAGGAGGCACCTGGAAGCCCTTATACTTAATGAGTTCCTTGACACGATCGGTAATGTAGAAATTACCCTTGGCGTCCTGATACCCAACATCACCAGTCTGGAACCATCCATCCTCAGACAAACAGCCCTTGGTAGCCTCTGGGTTCTCGTGGTAGCCCATGAAAACGTTGGGTCCACTCAGGTACAATTCGCCAACCTCACCCTCGGCAACCTCCTTAGGCTCGGATCCGTCCTCGGGCATAGTCATATACTTGGCTTGCATATTAGGCATCAAGCGGCCAACGGAACCTATGGTCTCGCGCCAGTCCTCCCATCGCTGGGCGTGTGTAGTTGGGCTGGTCTCGCTAAGTCCGTAGCCTTGCTTGATGCCAACCTTGATGCGGGAGTAGACTGCCTCCACCAGCTCTTGAGTTAGCGGAGCAGCGCCGGAGTTCATCATGCGAAGACTTGAAAGGTCGTATTTATCGACCACCGGGTGCTTGCCCAGCAAGAGCACCACAGGAGGGACGATGTAACTGAACGAACAGCGGTAGTTCTGGACGTGAGCGCACCACTTTTCAATATCGAATTTCGACATGACGATCAAGTGATAACCCTTGTACAAAGCCTGGGTAATTAAGCAGGTCAATCCTAAAGGCTCGTAGTTAGTATCTTATTTATCCGATCATCTGTGGAATTCAAAGCCATACCATAAATATGATAGAAAGGCAAGAATGCTAGGACCCGATCACCCTTCCCATCAGGACCGCCATCCCAACTCAACATCCCGCCCTCACCAACGACCTGCTGTTTAACATTGGCAATGATATTGCGATGCGACAACATGACGCCCTTAGGCACACCCGTCGTCCCAGACGAATAAACCAAAAACGCCACATCCTTCGCAGGAGTGATCTTCTGCTTACGGTAGCGGGTAGCACCAGAGATATTGCGCACAGAGCTGAAATGCTTGATCCGCGCATCGGGGTCCCGCTGGTCTCCAATGAGAATAATGCGGTCCTCAGGCATGCCGACTTTCTTCGCAGCTTCCCGCGCAACAGACAGGGCCGATGCTTGCGTTACAAGTCCCTTGGCATGGGAGTTCTTGAGCTGGAAGGCCAGCTCGTCAACCGTGTAACCAGGGTTTGCAGGTGAGATGATTCCACCGGCCCAGAGTGTGCCCCACATCACGACGGGTGTGTCGATGCTGTTTGGTGTGAAAAGGGCGAGAACATCGCCCTTGCGCCACTCATACAGAGCTTTCAGACCCTTGCCAAAATCTAGCGAGGCATCGTGTAGCGATTTGTATGTATAATAACGTTGGGTATCGGCATCCTGGTAGATAACTGATAGGGGTTAGTGGGGAGAAAAAAAAGAAATGAAAACGCTGTATTTCAACGCAGCATTGGGATTAAGATTGGATAGTACGCACTCTTGTCATCTGGGTAAGCTCTATCATTGCGTTCAAATAGAAAGGTCCAGAGGTCCACTTCTGGGATGTCGACCAGGGGGTAGTTAGAGGGAACTGGCATTGCGGGGAAAAGAATACTAAGAAGCCGAATCTGGGGAATGTGATTGAGGCTCAAAGGGATTGTCAGATGTCAGATGTAAGAAAGAGATTCACACGAGCAACCGAGTACTTAAAAGAGAGATATGGAGATTTCTCCGCAATCTCGGCTCACGGCTTGCCTCGGCACAGTAGCCCCAATAGTAATACCGCTGGGGCCGAACCCTGGCCTACGTAGATTTTAAAACTACTTGGTGTTTGTTGGCTTTTTTGTAGGCAGATTGAAATATCAAATTTCATACTATATACTGCATACTGCATACCATGTATGGTTCGAACAATCATCTGCTCGGTTGAGGTTCATGTAGTATAACCGCTGAGTACAGATCGACACTCGGATATCTCGGTTTAACGGACTTCGCGGCGATAAGCGACCTCACCGAATGCCGGATGAAGGTAACATTTCCAGTAGAAGGAGGGAATATGTATATAGTTATAAGATGTCAGAAATAGAACGTTGATATGCGAACCTTGGAGTGAAGATTGCGGGGAGCAATGTGACATCACAACGTGCCCGCCATGCCACGCATGGATCGAAATCTCACAATTTAATGAACATCGACCTCCATCCCTTGGAAGTTAGGTAAGTTAGGTAGTGGCATGAAACGGTTTCGAGACAATACAAATCCAACTTGGAATGGCCGACTCATTATTTTGTAAGGGGCTGCTCAGAAATATATATTCATGGCCTGAGATGTTGTCTATATGTAGCAAGGAAACAGAATACATAGAATACATATAACACCACATTGCACTCGAGAATGTGCTGTCAACTCATTGCTAGTTTTATATTCCATCTACATTCACACACACAATGCGGCTCAATAAACGTGGCTCATGAATTGAATGACACGATCCCGCCTCCGTCAATTATAGGTAGCGGAGTCCCATTTGTGGAGTACTTCAGTGTATACACTACGGATAATACGACGGGGTAGTCTCAATAAATCTCATGGCCTAGACTCAGGCACCATGAGACGAGGTTGACTAGGTATGGTCTAATGTGGCCCTTGGGGTTACTGGTCTACGATGTGTCTGATATGAAATTTGTAGTGTCGTTAAGATTTAGACTCCTTCCCTTTTGACACAAAGCGAGACGGGGGAAGGAGTATCTTTTTTTACCTCGCCAGATTCGACAAGGGACTAAATCCAGATCCCAAGATGATTTCATGCCGACAAGATCTTAAATTGAGTTGGAAACAGCTGACCCGCACTGGAAATACATGCTGAAAAAAAAGAGCCCAGTTGAGAGTTTTGCTGAATTCCAATTTTGCTTTCCCAGCACCATTTCCTCCACACGCCACTCCGAGGGGAATCGTTTGAAATCGTTTACTTGAGGGGAATGAAACGGGAAGAGTGGGTGGCACCGATACCGGGACGACCGTGCTTGACGGGCTTGCTGGGAGGTTGTTAGTGATCTGAGGTTAATGGTCAAGGGGAAACAAATCTCGGGAGCACATACTAAGAGATAGAGAACTCAGCCAGGTAGTGGCCAACCATCTCGGGCTTGATCTCAACCTGGTTGAACTCCTTACCGGAGTAGATACCGACGACGGAGCCGATCATCTCGGGGACGACGATCATGTCACGGAGGTGGGTCTTGACGAGATCGGGCTTCTCGTTGGGCTTGGCCTCCTGCTTGGCCTTGCGGAGCTTCTTGATGAGACCCATGGGCTTGCGCTTCAGGCCGCGGTTGAAACGTCTGCGGGCACGGGCGTGAACGACATCACGGAGCTGCTCGGAGGAAAGGTCGAGGAGCCTGTAAAAGGATTCAGTCAGACCAATGTCCTTGCAAATTGTTGGTGCTTGGTGTCCATTCGCAACGCAGCGCCAAAGAGGCTAGAACCGAAATGCCACATGCGGTTCATCCAGAACGGTTGTTGGCATGGTAGACGACCATCTTCAAATTCCGTCTCACGAAGCGCTGGCTGCGAATGGATGCCCAAGGGTTCGATGATTGATAGTGGAAACGTACTGGTCGAGGTCAATACCGCGGTAAGAAAACTTGCGGAACTGTCTTCTCTTCTTGATCTCTGTTCGGCGAATGTTCAGTCAGCGTCTGCGATCTTGTTGCTGTGCGTGTCTCCCTGCATCGCAGGTCCTTGTCGTTCCCCGCCAACGTATATTTCTTCAATGATCCTCGTATAGTCGATAGTAGGGCGCGCCCTCTCCTCTCATTCGATCTTCTGTCCAAGGGCGTTGGGTAAGGGTGGGGTTGATTGTTCATAACGTACCGGCAGCCTCCTCGGCGTTCTAGATGAAAACTCATGTTAGTGTATCGCACGGGCTTGAAGGGTGAGGAAAAAAAAAACTCACGTATTCACTGTCAGCCATTTTTGCAGATATTCCTATAAACCGCCTTTCGACCGTATCTCGAAAAGCGAAGGAAGATGGGTTGTCGGAAATTGTCGTGTCGCTGAGCGGTCGGGCTGCTAACACACAGGCTCTAGGAGGTGGGCAGCACTCGTTAAGCGACGGGTAGGTTCCAAGCCCTAGACACTATACCCAATTGGGTCATACGTAATCTATTTTGAAACGCTGGTTTTTATTGAGTAATCAAATTCTTCGTAATCTTTATTTACTCGATTTTCCTTGGGGGCTCATTACAAATGCTTGTACCTAACAGTGTAATTTATTTGTATTATGATTACCCATCGCCCTGGCTAGGGCTGACATGCATGTCGTATCAAATGGACGATTGTTGATGGCCCTTATCAGAGTACAATCTGAGTACACTTAGCTACCATGACGTGGACGATTGAATCTCTAGTTCTCTAGGAGAATTTGACTACACGCTATTGCTGAAACGCTGAGCGGGTCCCGGCGATCCTTCAAGAACTACACTACATAACTACGTATTGAGAAAAGTTGTAGTAAAGGCCAGATGAATTGTATTGACTATAAGCTTATTCCAGCTTATATGAAAAGTCGCAACTGTATCAAAACAGTCTCA